CTAGTTTACCACTGGCTTGAGTAAAGGGTGGCCTCTCACAAAAGCCGCACAGTGAACAAAATATGATCACTTGTGCTTTTCCCCTCCTCTATTCCAGGAAGATAAAAAAGGAAATGGGAGAGAGAGAGAGAAAGGGAAACTTTTGTCATGATCATTTTAATTCTTTAACTTGAATTTTAAAGTCTGCCAGAGACAGCTAACTGTCCACCAAAATTCATACTGTTTTTCTGAGAACTGACTGACCAACCAAAGACTACAATTTCCAACATTCCTTGGATCTAGATGTGGTCATATGACTAGTTTCTCCAATAAAATGTTAGCAGAAGGAATATATGTCACTTCTGGGGAAAGGTGGTTAAAAAGTAGGTGTGCCTTTGTTCTCTCTTCCCATTTTGCTTTTTAGATGCAAAGGACTCCAAGCCCTGGAGAATGGAGAAGCCACAGGAAGACAGTAGTCCATCTTCTTGAATGACTTAATGGAAGGCTGTCCACTGACCAGAAGTAGTGCACTGAACAACTATGTGAGCAAGAAATAAACTTTTGTTAAACCACTGAAATTTGGGGGTTTTACATTACAGCAGCTAGCATTACCCTGATACTAAAGCTGAAAACTAATGACTCTTCAAAACCCCCTCCCCCTTTTCCTATTTCAGTTCTTTATTGCTGCATAACAAACTATCCTCAAACAATGGCTTAACACACCATTATATTATGCTCACAGACTCTGTGGGTCAGGAACTAGGATGGGGCACAACCGGAATGATTGGGATCTACTCTGTGGTGTCTGGGGCCTCATCTGGAAAGACTCAAAGGCTAGGGTGGCTCATGGTCAGGGGCCTGGTATCATCTAGGGGCCATCCTTCATTTCCATGTCTGACAGAGAGTGGATGCTAGATGTCAGTTGGGACCTCAGTTGGAGCTGTCGGCCAGAACATCTACATGTGGCCTCTTCATGTGTTCTTTCCACTTCCTCACAGTAACTGGGTTCCAAGAGCATCCCCCAAAGGCCAGGTAGAAACTGTATTTGTTATCTTTAATGGCATAACATCACTTCTCCTGGAGTCACATACCTACCTAGATTCAAGACACCATCTTGCAACATGAGGAGTGTCAATGTCACATTGTAAAAACATGCGGGGTGGGTGATCTTATTGTAATCATCTTGGAAAATAATCTGCCACACTTTCTTTCCATATTTTTCTCCCCCTTTCCTTTTCTTCTTTTTGCCCCATGCTTCCTCCTCTTTTTGTCTTTTCCTTTCCCACTTTCCAGGCCTCTTCATTGTCAACTTTAACATTCCTCAGCTCTGTTCAATTAACACTAATTTAGTATACGTAATGAGACACACACATGTCAGATCCACATATATAAAGAACACCCTACTTCCTTTTCTGCATCTTGCTCTTTCCATTCATTTTTTTCTTGAGATGGGTATAAGGCAAGTTTTCTCAACCTTACCACTATTGACATTTTGGGCTGAATAATCCTCATAGTGGGGCAGTCTTGTGATTTGTAGGATGTTTTGTAGCATTCCTGGTTTCTACTCAATAGATGCTAGTAGCACTCTTACTTGTGTCATAACAACCAAAAATATCCCCCAACATTGCCAAATATCCTATGAGGGGCAAAATCGTCTCCAGTTGAGAACCACTATTTTAATGAAACATTATAGGGAAGGTGGAGTTAATAAAATCCCCAGATCTTAGAAGGCAGTGTCTCCATACTGTTTTGATCATGCACACTTAGCAACAAAACAAAGTCTGAGCACATAGGCCACTAGGTGTATATTTATTTATTCATATAAAGTCTATACATATCCTGTTAGTTTGTGTAAGTATAAAATATTTACAAAAATGACATTTAAAAAGATAAAAACCTAATAAGACATCCTGATATATTCTTTCCACAAGCAAATGGGTCATCTTTTATACTCCCTAGGGTATGGCCATTCTACCTGAGAGACCACTGCTAGACTGTAATGAGTGCTGCCTTTGGGGCTATAGATCTAA